AGGCAAACGAACATTCGATTTGCCATTAGCTGTAATCGCTCCAGATGGAATATTGTTTGTATTAGGTAAATCAACTTGCAAAAAACGTTGTAACGATCTACGTAAATTTTCTAGTACAATATCTGCTCGAATAACAGCCTCGTCGTACTTGTACGATAATTCTAATAATCCTTCACTAATACTATCCAACTCTTCTTGTTCTTTCTCATCTTCCGTTGTAATTTGATTTAAACTGTCGTTTAAAATCTTAATTCTTCCAAAAAAGGATACTAACTAGTTTTTATCAGTCCGAAATTAATTCTTCGTTTTGTTCAATATTTTCGATCGTTCGATTGTGAAACGGTATATTCATAATTTTCGCTATTTGATCGTTTAAATGCTTTTTACTTGGTCCTAATTGCTTTCGAATTTGATTCGCCATTTTTTTTTTTATAATAATAATAATGATAATGGAGGATGAGTTCATATTAGATAATGACTGAGATGATTGACAGCCATAGGTATCTTTAGGTAATCCATGCTCATAGAGTCGTCTACATGCTTTAGTTTTACCCATATAATGTGAATCACAGTCCTTACATTTAACGTTATAAATGACATCAGACTTTAGGTAATTTGGTATATTATCCTTAAAATTAAATAAATTTTGAACTGATATTGGAGGCTTTTCAATTACTGTTAATTGTGAATCCGATCGAATTTGACTAGTAAATTTTCGTAAGTCGTAGCGTGCGAAGAGCTTAACTGCCTAAGTTCGCGATATGATAGCTAAGGCGTTCACACATATTGAAGAAGAGAATAGGCGGAATAATGAGTTCAAGTGCCTACGTAAAGTTTGAACGAATTTATATACTTTGATTTTAACGCATTCCCATGCATTAAATGACGACGACGGCAAACCTCTTTACATGTCTTGGAACCCTTAATTTGAGCAAAAACGTTAAGAATTTTAATTCTGCTAATGCATTCTAGTAGGGGTGGCACTTTCTCTTTCTTTCCCAAAAAAAAGGAAAGTAAAAATTGACTTTTTTCTCTTTTGAGAAAGGAAAGCTTTTTACTCTCTCACTTTCCTTTCCCTCAAAAAAAGAAAGAAAAGTATGATATAACTTTCTGTTGTGTTTTTCTCGATGAATAAAACACTTTATTACAAGTAAAGTGAGAAAGTAAAAAACTGTTCTTTCTCAATAGAAATTTTTTTGCTTTTATTTGAGAAAGAAAGAGAAATTGCCACCCCTACATTCTGCTTGATGAATGAATTTAAATCAGTTGAGAACTGGGAAGGCGTTCGAACTACCTATTTTTTAACGCGTGAGAAGCGTTAGAGCTCCAAAAGTTTTCTAAAAATGTAATAATGCATTGAAACTTTTGCATAAATTATAAGCGCTGAGAAAAATAAGGTATTCGAATGCCTTCAGTTCTTATCGATAACTCGAGAGAACGCGTTAAAAATCTCAAGTCATGTAAAGTCTTGACATGTGTCAAAAGAAGAATTTTCAGCTCTGAAAGCCGAGAAAAACAAGTTTAATGCCTGCAAAGTACCTGCGAGGTTCTAAAATTTCTTCCTGGGTAGGCTTTCCTTTATTAACATGTATTTTTAACTTTCTGCGTTCTTGCTTAAACATTTCGTAGCTTTTCGTTTTTCTAATTTATTTAGCGTCACTGGTACAGGAAAGATCTGACAGTACTTCATTTGTCTCTGATGAAGAAGAACAAGATTCAGATTGTTCCGATTCGCAGGCTCAGGAACTATCGTACAAACTGAAACGACTAATGTCCTGTAGTCCGTCTGTGTCCAAAAGTACTTCTTCTGATTCCTCGCGACCAACAAAAACTATGTCTTCCGCTTCCTTGCAATCATTCAAAACTATGTCTTCTGATTCATCGCGACGAACAAAAACTATGTCTTTCGATACCTCTGATGAAGAAGAACAAGATTCAGATTGTTCCGATTCGCAGGCTCAGGAACTATCGTACAAACTGAAACCCTCATATTCACCGGTCGAACAAGATTCCAATGCAAATGGTGCCAAATCTAGAAACAATAATCAACTCCGTTGCAGACTTAATCCAGGATCCGATGAACATACTTTTGTTTTACAAAAATTTCAAGAAACTATGCAGCAAAACAACAGTTATTCACAAATAATTGTTATTGAACAAATTCATAATGAAACATGGTTATTGCAGTATGAAGTACAGCGTAATGGATTATTTGAACAATTAAAAAAAGATACCGAGCAGTTTTTATTCCATGGATGTGCAGATATTGCCGTTGAGAATATAATCAAAAGAGGTTTTGATCGAAATCGTGCTGGTGAAGTCCACGGTAAGGTGTTCTTCTCAAGTTTAAAACCAGCTCCTACCAATATCTTGTAATTTCTCAGGTAAAAGTTACGGTCGAGGCGTCTATTTTTCACGCAGTGCACTCGAAAGTCATGGATATACGAAAGCGAACCAAAGTGCTGAACGTCATATGTTTTTAACGCGTGTTCTTGTTGGAAATACAATGCAAGGAAATAGTTCAGTAAAGTATATACCAGATGGTTATCATACAACATCCAATGGAAAAGATATTTTTGTTACGTATCACGATTCACAAGCGTATGCAGCTTATTTGATTGTTTATAAGTGATGATCGTCATAAAACGACATAAAATTTTTAAAAAATATGGTTTACATAAAAAAATATAGAAATAACTGGTGCAACAGGTTAAATTGCCAACATTTGCCGGTTTTTTTCCAAGTTAAGCTGATCAAAAACTTTTGTTATTTATACTGAAAGACAGAGACTTTTGTGTAGATTTTGATTATATGTTCTTTTTAGAAGAAATATTTGCCGTTTGTATCAAGATGATACTTGTCGTTCGAGTATCATCTTGTAGTATCCTACTCTCTAAAAAAAATAGGCATTTTAAAAAACCTAAAAAGGGTTCGGGAAACTGCAAATATACGGAACCCTCTATAAGGTTTAGTAAGGGGTTTTTGACCTGTACTAAACCGTTTTCAAATTTCAGTTGCAAATGGAATATCTATTTCTCCAAGATATGATACAATCTACAGTAGTTTTAAGTCTAGTCATTTTAATTCATTATTATACATAATGTGATGTTTCGAAATACAGATTTAAAACTGCTGTAAATTGTATCATATTTTTACTCAAACTTTGCCTGTGCAAAAACAAAATTATTTTTCCAAGGATAGTTTCTTTAATTGAAATGATATTATGTTTGCTTATAATTTGAGCATTTAACGATTCTATTTTTATATATAGAAAGGAAACGAATGGTTGTAATAATGGGAGAAAAATTGAACTCAGGGTGCTATTTCTGAAAGAACAATACTTACTTCTTTATGTGGGCTAAAGTGAGAAGCAGGAAAAGATTTTGCTTCATCAGTTGTAAGGCAGACTTTATAAAAGGATTTGTATCTCTTATGGGTCTTGAGTCTGGCAAATTACAAAGAAAAGCACATAGATCAGAAAAGAGTTAAAGTGTAGAACAGAAAAAGAGAACTATTTAAGTTGAGAGGCTATAAACATATGACGTTGTCTGTTCTTTCATTTGTCATGATTTAATTCATAAACTTGATATAATTTTAAAAATTTTGAATGAGAAACTTAAGTGCTTACACACAATAAAAAGGCGTACAGTCACTATGTCTGATCGGCTAAGGCCTAAAAAGAGTAAAACAAATGATATCTATATTGACTAAAAAATACCGGCATATGTGAACAAACAAAATGTGTAAATCAAAATAGCCTGACATAAATGCAAAAAACAACCATCGTACTACATCTATCCCAGTGAGTTAACTGAATACTCAATAGAACAACGTAAAAAGTAAATATCGGAGAAAAAATATGGTGTTAAAACAAATACGCGTGGTTGCATAGTATCTGCCTCTATTGTTTAAACGAAAGTGGTTTTAATTTAAAAAAACAATCAGATTGTGAAAAGAATAAGCTAAAAGGGAGAAAACACAAGTACCCTCTAAAAGGTTTAGTAAGGGGTTTTTGACCTGTACTAAACCGGAGCTGCAGTTTGTGAGAGAATAGGGACGTATAAGCGCTTTTTATTTTACTCTTGCACAGTTGGAATTTTTCTTCAGGCGTGTTGGGTATATCAGAACGAGTCTTCTTTCTCAGAGAATGTACTATATCAAAAATGCTTCCTTCATTGTGAAAAACACTAATTGAAACTGGTAAAAAAACTGTTTTCGACATCAGTATTTTCAGTATTCAGTATACGTCAGTATCAGTATTTCAGTAAAATAAAGCAGTTATTATAAACTGCAAAAAGTTCGAATATAAAAGTGGTCTTCACACCACTTTCAGAAATAAGTGTCTTGGATAACAGACACTGCTTTTTCGTCTTAGCTATTCGTCTCAGTAAGATAATAAGGAAAACGTCGATATGTACAACGTGTGTATATAAGAAAAAAAGATGGCGTCGTCGACAGAAAAGAAAAAAATGACAAGAAAAGAAAGTACTATGTGTGAAATATATTCGTCTTCTTCGTCTATCGACGACGCCATTTTTTTTGAAAAAGCAGTGTCTGTTATATAAGGCACTTATTTTTGAAAGTGGTGTGAAGACCACTTTATATTCGAACTTTTTGCAGTTTATATCTGCTTTTTAACTTGTCTAAAGTAGAAGTAAAGCAAAAAAGAACTAATTTACGTAGTAAGTGTACGGCAGTTGCATTGAGTGAGAGATAGGGACATATAAATCCTTTTTATTTTACTCTTGCCTCAGACGTGTTGGATATATCAGAAACGAGTATTCTTTCTCAGAAAGTGTACTATATCTAACGACTTCTGTGTTTTTTTCTCAATCGATGTTTGCTGTGCAAAGATCTCGAAATAAAAATGCACAGAAGTGAGAAATGCATCAAAGGTTGATGTTTTTTTATAACAATTGTGAGTATCCTCGGTGTAAGATCGCTTTGCTGTTAGTGACTCTCAGGATGTAGCAAAGATCAGGTCGGTCCAGTTCGACGCACAGAGGATTGGGGCTCAGCCATTCCGCCTCATTCACAGGATATTAGATTGGCTCTGATAACGGACTGATCCTAGCGATAATATCTTCGGATATACATTCTCTGAAAGTCCAAGTGTGAGTGTTTTCTTCACATATGGTAAGCGTTACCTTATCGGTAATATTCACATGCGAACCATAAAACATCAATTGCTCTCACTTATATTTGGAGATCAAATACCAGTTATATAATTGAGAAGTACATGGGAGGAAGTCTGAGACTGAAGCTGTTTTAGAAATCACAATCAAAATTTTTCTGAAAGTTTAAAAAAAGCTGTTAGCACAGTTTCTATGACAAGTAGAGAGCGTATTTAGAAATAAAATTGCTGTGCTAAACTTACCTTAAGCTCAACCTCGAAGCAAGCCGAACCTAGGTGAATGATTCACCTTGATTGCATTATGTTCCCGACGAGAAAGCTGGGTAAAACATGGTGAAATCATTATGTGAAGTACCTTACGGAACACTTTATCTTGAGAGATCGAAAAAAACAGGTAGCTAGCTCAAAGCAGTAACATCATTTGTGAATGATTCCAGTACTAATATGATATTCTGAATGACTGTTACGAACAGTCATGAACCATGATTGAGGTATTTCACCCGTTCTCTAAATAAATGGGTAGTTTTCAAAATCCGAACGCTTTTTTATTGTTGCTTCGAAACCCAAAAGGGTATAGTATTGTTACTGAACCGTTTTGGTCTTTTAAAATACTTCTTGGACAGGTATTTTAAGAGAATAAAGGGTTTTTTATTAATGTCATAAAACCCTAAAGGTATTCTATTTACGGTACTTTAGGTACAGTATTTATTTCTTGACCAAGATGGTTTAGGAGTTGAATTGAAAAACCTTTGGGATTTAGCAGCAATAATGAAAAACCCTTCTGGTTTTTTAAGATAGTAAAAGGGTTTATATATCAACCCTTTGGGTTTCGTAACGAAAATAGAATACCTTTAGGGTTTTGTGACATTGACAAAAAACCCTTTATTATCTTAAAACACTTTTCCAAAAAGTATTTTAAAAAACCAAACCGGTTTAGTAACGATACAAAACCCTCAAATGGTTTCTCAAATGTGCTACTATACCCTTTTGGGTTTAGAAACAGGAATGAAAAACCGTTTGGGTTTTTTAAACTGCCTGTTTTTTTTAGAGAGTACGTGTAGTTAAAACTTATGTAAATTGCATTTCTTTCAAAATTTTCCCGCTAAAATAGAAAAAGTCACCATCAGAAATCTTATGCACCATCTTTATCATCTTCAAATAGTTCCTTAACAGGAAGTGACGCTACGCATTCAGATAAAAGTGAATTATTAAATGTCTACAAGAAAAGTAAAACTTTGAAAAGAAACATCATCGAAAACAACATGCTTCTTCTTTTCAAGTAGCGGTGATGATAATGATTCGTATTACGGTGGGAAAAAGATAACTTCAGAATCCCGAAGAAAAAGAAAATCAAAAGAAAGTTTTCTAATTCTTCTTCACGACCAACTGTTCTCACTTCACCGGCAACTTTGCAAGTTACCATTAATGATTCAATTACTTGTTTCAGTGGTAGACCGTATGAGCAGCCTAGTAAGTTCTTGCATCAGTACCAACAAAAAATGCGGACGTTATTTCGGGCTGGTGATTCGCAATTACTACGGAATACTAGTAATTGGCTCACAGGTGCAGCTGGTGACTGGTATTTGCAGCCTTCCCAAGGTCATCATTTGCCGGATACGTGGCATGAGTTTAAGAAGTTGTTCTTGTCTCGTTTTCGTAGTCCTGAAAGGATAGAGGCTTTGAAAATTGAACGTAGCCGTTGCGTTCAAAAAGAAAATGAAACAGCAGCTGATTTCTATCAAAGATATTTGGGACTAAATTTGGAAATTAATACCCACCCTAATAGATGGATTTCTACGAATTCTGATTGCGATAAAGATTAAGGAATTCCGCGGCATCGTAGGAATTCGCGGTAACTCAGCAGCTGGTGCGATTGAAAACACCAGAGAGAACAGTTGTTGATGCTATTAGAGAACCGCCGGGACCGTGTCTGATTTGTCGTAAAAATGGACATTGGAGAAGGGATTGCAGAGTTCCTTGCACTACTTGTAGAAAAACTGGACACAGTGCAAATTATTGTTTTCAACAAAGAGGCAACTCTCAGCGTAGTGCATCTGCGGCACCTACTTTTTCCGGCGGTGATTCACAAAATCGACAGAATTCTAATCATTTAAACTGAAAAGGGAGCAGCTGATTGAGGATAAGCTGACATCCCATACTATTCACAAGTCCTCAATTGAACAGTCCAAAGAACAGGGAAAAATCGAAGCCTTGAAATCGTTATCGCGGTTTCTAAAGCCCGGTTGTGATGTAGAGGAGGTTTCTCGACCTATACTCGATTTTGCATCGTTGCCATTCTCTTCTTCTTTGTTAGAGACGTCGGGAACTCCGTCACCACCTAAATCAGCGACTTTTGAACAAAAAATTGGGACTAGTTTAACACTTATTGACAATTTATCCACAGAAAAATCACCTAACTCTAGTTCTTCTCAATTGGAGTCTTGTTCTTCTTCGTCATCTGTATCTAATGAGATGATTGTTTCGTTATCAACTCCAAAAACGACAATATCTGATCAAAATTATAATTTATCAGATAATTTCAAGCGTAAAAACACCAAAAATTATAAGAAAGAAAAGAGAAAACTAGAGAAGAAGAAAAAAACTACAATTGGAAAGGATTCTCTCTTTAAAACAGATTCTAAAGGCTTTGCTGCTACGATTTTGAAATTAGAAAGCAAAATAAAAGAGAATGCCACTTCTTCTAATGCTTCAGCTTGTTTTTATACCATCAAAAGAGGTTGTGCAACCGCCAAAGGAAAATTACTTGGCACCATAGGTATTTTTACTTTAGATACAGGTGCTAGTGTTAGTTTAGACTACTGGCGGCTTTTAAAAGGAACTGAAGCTGTTTTTCCTTATTCTGGAGCCGATATTGTAGGTCCAGAAGGTAGTTCTATTGAACCAGTCGGCTGGGTCGAGGCTGATATTATGTTGGCAGGACAAACTTTTAGACATCCGGTTGTTCTAGCTGGCAAATTCAATCAAAGAGTCTTGTTAGGAACCGATTTCGTGTTCGAAATAGGTTTAGTTTTAGATGTACAAGACGGTAAATGCTGGTTGAGAGATAAACCGTTGTCTAAATTTTTGCTAGCTACTGATCTTCAGCAGGCCGGTCGATTGGACATATCAGTCTACGCTGTTCCTAAAAAAAGAATTCCACCCTTTCATCAAACTTTCATCACGGTACAAACACCGTTGGATATTAGCGAACAAAAGTGGGAAGCCACCACCATTTCTGCGAATTCTCGAATTTCCATCGCCAACAGTATCGTTACTGTTGAAAAGAATATCGCTAATGTATGGTTGCTAATCTGACACCACGATGGAGTTATATTCATCCTGGATAGAAACTCGCTTTCCTTGATCCTTTTTCTTCTGATTCTAGTCTACAAAAATCTGATGCATCACTTCGAGAACATCAGGATACATGTACATTTATTACACAGAAATCACCGATGCCTGATCCGAAAGAAGGACAATCTAATTCTGCTGATAACTGTTCTAAAGACACTTCATCTACTACAGGTGTTAACCGTCCAGAATTAGCAACATCATTATTTGCCAAGAGAAAGTTTGATAATTACATTGAAAAGACTAGACGACGATTGCTCAGACAAGATCCAATTACACGTCGAATTGAAGATGAGAAAATAAAGATTCGAAAAGATGCTGATGTTGGAGAAGGAGATTCTGGTTCGTCTTTATCGCTTTTTGCTAATAATCAAAGTACAGTTGAGAGGCCAGACCCTTTGACTGCCATCGTAGTTCGTTCTTTAGATGAGAAAACCGATCTTGTGCGTATTTCATCAGCCGAACCTCAATTTTATTCACAAACGGTCGAGAAGCCATTCGAGTCGTTCAGTGATTCTACAGATATACCTGGTGATTGGCTAACTAAACTTGATTTAGCTTCTTCTGGGCTTTTTTCGGACCAAGAAAACCAGTTGCGGCAACTTCTCTTCCAATATTCCGACATTTTTTCGTCAAAGCCAGGCCGTACTAATGTAGTCAAGCATCACACTGATGTTGGTGATGCTAGACCGATAAAACAAGGTCCGTACCGCCTCTTAAACCCGGAGAGGAAGGTAGAATGAACTCGACAGACTGCTGATATGCTTAAAAGCGATGTAGCCGAGCCTAGTTTCGGACCATGGACTAGTCCTGTTACCTTAGTCCCAAAAAGCATGGCACACTTCGTTTCTGTATCGATTTTCGAAAACTGAACGAAGTTACTATCAAAGATACCTACCCGATTCCCAGAATAGATGATACACTCGATGCACTTAAAGGTGCCAAATATTTCAGTACTCTTGATCTCTCTTCTGGGTTTTGGCAGGTTGAATTCGATGAAGGTAGCAAGGAAAAGACTGGTTTTGTTACCCATGAAGGCATTATTCAATTTAAAGTCATGCCATTTGGGTTGACTAATGCACCGGCTACCTTCCGGCGTCTCATGGGCCTTGTTCTACGAGGCCTGAAGTAGAGCTGTTGCATGGTCTATTCAGATGATGTCATAATTTATTTACCAACTTTTGAACAACATCTAATAGACATTGATAATGTCCTTAATCGGATAAAAGAAAGCGGCCTCGCATTAAAATCATCGAAATGTTTCTTTTATCGCCGAGAATTAAAATATCTAGGCCATATAGTCAGTGCTGATGACAGTCGATTTGACTGTAACTAGTCTCATTTTGTAGAGCATATGCGGAAACCTATAAATCCAAATTTTCATCTTCTCCGGACTTTTAGTCTCAGAGTTATAGACGGTTTTCTGAAGACCTCTCGACGAAAACTTCAGCATCCAAGAAATGGAAAATAAAAATAAAAATTCTGTATCTCGCTTAGTTCAGGTTCTGAGACCGAGAATTTTTCACTATGAAAAGCCGACTACATTGATAGATATCTTGTCTTTCTTTAATTTTTAATCTGATTTCGTTCGGTAATTTGGACAAAAATAAATTGAATATGCAACGGTGTTCAGTTTCGATTTCTAGCGCTTCAAGTGCACGCAAATGTGTGTCAAAGTTAATTAACATTGCTCGCAATGAGATTTTATTGTTGTCCGCCATCGTTAATTTAAATAGGGAATAGAAATGATTATCCGCTATTTTGACATTATTATCGTACGTTTCTTTTAATACTTGAACGACCGGATGATAGTTTTCGGCTGCAACTGGATAACTTGCGATTAATTTAAATGCGTCACCATTTAATTGAGATCGTAAATATGTAAATTTTTCGATAACGTTTAGCGTCGAATTTTCGTGTATTGCCGAAACAAATACACCCCAGAAAGCTTTCCATTTTAAGGTCTCGCCATCGAATTTCTCAATTTCGAGCTTAGGCAAACGAACATTCGATTTGCCATTAGCTGTAATCGCTCCAGATGGAATATTGTTTGTATTAGGTAAATCAACTTGCAAAAAACGTTGTAACGATCTACGTAAATTTTCTAGTACAATATCTGCTCGAATAACAGCCTCGTCGTACTTGTACGATAATTCTAATAATCCTTCACTAATACTATCCAACTCTTCTTGTTCTTTCTCATCTTCCGTTGTAATTTGATTTAAACTGTCGTTTAAAATCTTAATTCTTCCAAAAAAGGATACTAACTAGTTTTTATCAGTCCGAAATTAATTCTTCGTTTTGTTCAATATTTTCGATCGTTCGATTGTGAAACGGTATATTCATAATTTTCGCTATTTGATCGTTTAAATGCTTTTTACTTGGTCCTAATTGCTTTCGAATTTGATTCGCCATTTTTTTTTTTATAATAATAAACGAAATTGAATACAATAATACGAAAAGTATATTTACCAACGAAAAATTAAACAATTGATTATCACATTAACTTGATAAATAACTTAATGGATTACTAGATCAACCGATCTATCCTGCCAGGGTCGCCATGTAGCGAAATGCTTGAATTTTAATAGATTTTTGCACTTTCGCGAAGTTCTTAAGCTTTAATTGCTGTTGCTAAATGTACATCTTACACAAGAAGAATATACATCTGTCGCATGCTGTTATAAATTTATTTTTGTAACGTTAACATATATCTTCGTTAAAAAACACAATAAAAAATCTTTCTTATCGTCTTATCCTTTTTCACATCTCTTCTTCGTGCAACACAAAGGAACACGCACATTTTTCTTTTCCTGTTTGTTATGAGTCATTATTTCAGCTAGCTACGTAAACCTACACAGAAAGAAAAACACACGCAAATAAAAAACTAACTAATTCTAGATTGTTACAAAATTTGAAATCGCTAAGCGGCAGTTTGATTTTTATTTTCCATTTCTTGGATGCTGAAGTTTTCGTCGAGAGGTCTTCAGAAAACCGTCTATAACTCTGAGACTAAAAGTCCGGAGAAGATGAAAATTTGGATTTATAGGTTTCCGCATATGCTCTACAAAATGAGACTAGTTACAGTCAAATCTGAAAAATTCATTGAGCATGCTTCTGTGGCAAACAGGCGTTTTTCTCGTGCAATGACTCCTAATAGGCCATGCATTTATTGATTAATATTTTCTAAATACTCAGGCCTTTCATTCTGGGGGGAGGCAAGTTATTACTGTGGGTTATTACTATGTCTTCAAAAATAAATTTTTAAGGAAATGTGACGTGTGGTTTGAGAGGAAACTGAGGTCAACGTCGGGATTTTTGGAGAAGATCAATCAAATAATTCAGAAACAAAAAACGATATAGAGCTCGGATTTGCGACAATTCTAGATTGTTACAAAATTTGAAATCGCTAAGCGGCAGTTTGAATCTGAATCCTAATCGCGTTTTGCGACACTCCCACACTGGAACCAAGGAAGACACCGTATTTTATAACGTTCTAGATTACATTGAGTGAACCACATTGAAGCTCAACAACATTAAAGGGAGCTTGCTATACTCAGATTAATATTTTTTTTTTTTTAAACACATAACTTGTAACTATACTTCTAATGGATATAATAGAGATATAGATCGATTTAAAAATTTCCCGGAAGATAATTGCACTTTGACCGATCGAATCTGATTGTCATTGCTGACGATTAATTGTTTGATACGTCCGAGTTTCCAGGTACTCGAGGTAAATCGCTTTTGATTTGAACTACATCGCCTATTTTCAGATCTTTAGTCGATTGACTCCGTCCTTGTTTGATTTCCGATTGATAACGCTCTCTGAGACTGAGTAAATACTGGTCATACCAGATCGCCCAAAATTTATTCAAATATGTTTGTGTTTCAGCCCAGGAGTTAATCAGCTTTTGAGTTGAGCTTATCCTGTCGAAATAAGTTAAGTCATCTTTGTTGTCAAATTCTTCATTGTTAATAAGACCTGTTTTTTGATTCAACAATAGAAAGTGACTTGGAGTTAGAACAGGAGAATCGTCTAAATTTGCTCCAATGTAAGTAAGCGGGCGAGAGTTTATCACGGCTTCAATTTCCGTAATAATCGTTTGTAATGGAAGAAATGACCAATTTTCCAATTGTTTTCCTGAGGCAATTTTTAATCATGCCCATAAATCGTTCATAGAATCCTCCAGATCATGGGGATAATTCTATACTAAAATGCCAATCGATTCCCTTTTGACTAACATACGTTTGAACGTCCGTATCTTGAAACAATTTCTTTTGGTTTGAATCTAAAACTTTTTTTGATAGTTTAAAATTTGTTGCGTTGTCTGAAATCAGATTAATCGGCGTTCCACGCCTCGAAATAAATCGCCGAAGACCCATGATAAATTGTTCGGCAGTCAAATCGCTGACAAGTTCCAGGTGGATAGTACGAACACATAAACAGGTGAAAACGCATATCCAAACCTTTTTTTGAGAATCCTTGTCTTTAATTACCAACGGTCCTAAATAATCGATTCCTGTAAAGGAAAATGGTGCGGACGGTGTAACGCGATCGACCGGTAAAGCTGGTATAGCTGGAAGTTTGTAAGGGCTGACATTGAGTTTAATGCATAGAATACACTTTTTGACGTAGTTTGATACAACAGATCGTCCCTGGGGTATCCAGTATTTATGGCGTAATTGAGATAAAGTTGAGCTAACCCCCGAATGTAAAACTTTGTGATGGTACTCTTGAATGACTAGCTTTGTAAAGCTCGAATGCTTCAGCAACAGCTTAGGAAAATCGCAACAGTCATTCGATTCTACATTTTTTAAACGACCGCCGCAACGTATTACGCCATCTTGGTCTAACCATAAACCTAATTGTTTCTTTAATTTATTCGAACTGTTCTTTTGAATTGATTCAATAACCTCGTTCAAATAATTCGATTGAATAACTTTTTCGCAATACAATTTTGCCTTTGATCGTTCTTCAACAGACAAAATACTATTTTCTTTTGAGCGTTTTCTTGATTTATTGATAAATCGTAGTACCCAAGCCGTAACATCAGGCTTGATGATTGATTAGCTCTTCGCCGTTTTTACCCCGGGAAGGTAAATCCGCTATGTTATCGTCCCCAGGAACAAAGCGAAAATTGACATTTGAATGATTTTTGATCTCTCTTATTCGATTTGAAACGAAAATTGTAACCGGCTTTTTTGTATGTAGCAAATGCAACGCACATTGACTGTCCGACCATAAATATTGTTCACAATTGGGTAATTGAAGCGAATTGGAAATGAATTGTAAATTGCGAACGCCCAATAAAATTGCCAACAGTTCCAAACGTGGAATTGTTAAAACGTTTTTCGGAGCTAAACGGCTTTTTGAAAAAATTAAATTGCTTACCACCTTGGTTTGCGTTGAGCCCACTAAATAAATTGCGGTGCCATAAGCTTGGCTTGATGCATCACAAAAGCAATGCAAAGCGTAAGAAATTTGATTGTCTGATGCAACGTTGATAAAACGAGGAAAATTGAATTTGGAAATAACTTGTAAACTTGAAGCGATCTGGTTCCATTCGTTTTGTTGATCAGAATTCAAGAAATCATTCCAATCTAATTTTGCGATCCAAAGTTTTTGCATAAACAATTTTGCGTTTAAAATTGCTGGACTGAACAAACCAACGGATCAAAAATAGAGGCAATAATTTGTAATACCTCGCGTTTTTTTGAAGGATCAGAAACAGAAAAATTTGATTCATTTATTGATAACGTGTCTGCTTGAGTGTTCTAAGACAGACGTAAAACTTTGACTTCCTTCGACTGGACTTGATCTTCGATTTGTAACTGATTAAAAAATTCGTTTGAATTGGATGTCCATTCTCGAACGTTTATCAACGCAGCAGCAAATATCTTTTTAGTTTCTTGATAAAGTTTAATAGCAGCTTGAGCATTGTCTGCTCCCGAAATAATATTATCAACGTAAATATTATCGAAAATGTTACCTACTGTCTCTGACCCATTTTGAAGTAAATGATAAGCCAGGGTTGCCGCCAAAAGAAAAGGACTCGAAATTAAGCCAAAAGGAACCCGCGTAAACCGAAAAGTTGCTAAATTGTTTATTGTTGTTAGTTTACCAGGACTTTTTAGCCAAAAAAACCTTGTTGCATCTCGTGATTGTTTTTGTAAGCCTATTTGAAGAAAGGCTTTCTCGATGTCTGCTACAATAGCGACCTTGTTCAATCGAAATCGCAATAATAACGAACACAGATCGGCTAACATGACCGGTCCTCGATACAAACAATCATTGATACTTAAATTGTTTTTATTTGTTTTCGCCGAACCATCGTAAACATGCGAACTTTGGTTGTGGTTTTGGTTGGCGTAATAACGGCTTGATGCGGTATGTAGTGGACGATCGGACCATCTACATGCGATTCTTGAACTTCTTCGATTATACCCTTGTCAATTTGATCTTGGATAATCAAATCGTATTGTTTGAGTAGCTCAGGTTTGTCATGGAATCTTCGAACCAGAGAATTGAGGCGACCAATCGCTAATTGTTTATTGTTAGGTAAATCGATTTTTTCGTTACGCCATGGTAATTGAACGAAATAACGTTGATCTTGAAATTGTATAGTTTCATTGAACTGTTTCAAAGCAACTTCATCATCCGGACAATCGATTTTGTCCTTGATACCGATCGTGCCAAGCGACCATCATTCCTTGAGGTCGACTTGCGGACTTAGATTGTCATCTTGTTTGAGAAATCCGCTGGATAATTGACCCAAATCCGTTGTCAGAGACGAAACGAATAGGGAAACTGGTCGATTACTGAACTTGTTGATTGTGGAAATGCAACCTGATAGTATCCGTCCAAATTTCTCGCCGAGCAAATACAATTGCTCATTGATTTTGATACGTTCGGGCATCGTAAATTGATCATAATATTCATTGCCCAACAGAATATCTGCATTACAATTTTCAACTTTTGTTGGAAGTGGATCCGCCAAGGATACACTTTGGATTAAATATTGAAATTCTTGTGTATTAATAGGAACTCGGTGAATTGAATTGACGATTGTTGGGACAACGTTGACCGTTATCCTTTGAAATTGACTATCGATTAATTTTAAATCAACGTTGGCTATTGGCCTTTCAATAGTCTGCGCTTGAGCAGCTCCAAATTTAAATAGAGATATCGTTTCTCTGCGAATAACTGGAAGTTTGAGCTGCTTGAATAATTTTTCTGTTATAAAACTACGTTGACTCCCAACATCTAAAATAATACGAGTCCGGATTTGTTGATTCGATTGTCCATTTTGAGCAATCGTTGTTGCAGTTTGTAACAAGACAAATTTATTCAAACTGGAATTTTTTAAAGCATCGTTTGCTTTATCGTTTGAATTGTACTTGGTTGATTTTTCGTTGATAAGTGTTAACGTATTTGTGGTTTGAGAACAAAAGGCGCAAACAGGCTGAAAATTCAGCTTATTTTCGGCGTTGATTTGTTCGATTAGCGGTTTAATGTTTGATTGAGAGTGATCGTTAGTTGTTAATTTGTTATGAGACAGTTTCTCACTATCATCTTCGTTCAATTGATCAATAATCGATTTAACAATATCTCGTAATTGAATAACTGTACATTGATAGATATCTTGTCTTTCTTTAATTTTTAATCTGAATTCGTTCGTAACTTGCGATTAATTTAAATGCGTCACCATTTAATTGAGATCGTAAATATGTAAATTTTTCGATAACGTTTAGCGTCGAATTTTCGTGAAGATATTTTGGTGCGAAATTTTAGAAGATGGCTAATGCTCTTTAGCAATACAATGCTCTTTCAGTGTATTTTTATAATTGCTATAAAATGATCAAAATTAAGATAATATCGACTTATTTATATTCAAATCGTAGCTTGATTGATGTCCTTTCAATTGACGCAAATCCGAGCTCTATATCGTTTTTTGTTTCTGAATTATTTGATTGATCTTCTCCAAAAATCCCGACGTTGACCTCAGTTTCCTCTCAAACCACACGTCACATTTCCTTAAAAATTTATTTTTGA